AACAGATGAGGTGGAAATTTTAATTTAATCTAATGTTATAAAAATCCTGTCATTTATTAAACGGACTTGCCAAGTGTCATTGATATTTTCAACAAGGTAATATAGTTCACTATTTCATGCTTTGTTGGGTTTACAATATCCACTACGTTGATTTGTAATCCGCTAGTTTTCTAAAATATTTCAAATCTGAACTGCGTATCGTCTTACAAAGCTAAGTGAAGTAACATTTTTCTCTTTCTTTGAAGCTATCTTAAATTATATTTTTTATCATATTATTCAAATAATACAACTACAACGTAAATAAGTTAATATTTAATGAAAATGCAAGCTTACTTTCCAGATAAACCACGAAGGGAGCAAAAATGCGGCGATTTTTTTTCATTTGTAACATGTCATACTATCCCCTTGCCTCGTCTTTTATATGTTCATTTTTACGTAATCGGAAAATTATTATAAAAGATTTCTCAAATAATATGCATGGTCTTCTATTTCCGATATCAGTAGCTTTCCGCCGGTAACGGATACAACGGATAACATGTGAGGCAATTCGTTTGATGGTGGATATTGCTCGAAAGCTCTGAACATCAACACTATCACTGCACCCTTGCCAAGAGTATTTTCACAGATGTAAGAAGCGATTATATTGGATAAAGATTGGTTTCTAATGACGCTTTTCTGCCCACAGTATGAGGATCGTGATTGGACAAAATTATGCATGTGACCTAAGGCAGCCAAACATATTGCAGCAATGGATAGTATCCTCGTAAACGAAAACTTTTAGATTCAGACGAAAGTTTTGGGTAAAAGCATGCTATTCTGAACGTGTTAGGCAAAAAATCACCACCTATACGTATATTATGGAACTTAGTGGACGTATCGTGCTAGGCTATAACCATTGACAAAAATGCTTCATGCATATATTTTAGCATTAAACATCATGTCCAAGCGCGAATTTCGAGGCGACGAAAGCCGAGATGTCACTTGATATAATTAAATTACACGATCGCTCAAATAAGATGGAAATTGTAAGTTATAATGTACATTTGACAACTTTTCTGAGTATTGTTATTGATTTTATTCTTCGGTTTATTTAATTTGTTTAATTATTATCACGAAACATCGTTACTTTGATTACGATCGGTAATAACAAGTAGGGAATTCCCATTTCAAGCTGATCCGGGACGGACGAGTGGAATTTTCGAGCCCTGATAACTGTATATTTTATTCAAAACACTAAACATAACACTTTATTTTATTCAAAACATTAAACATAACTTAGAATTTGGATTGTCTGGTGCAGACTCGATGCAGCCATACAGCTGGAATATTGCTGAATGCGGCGTACAACTAAGCTCACTCACAAGAATTTTCTACAAAACATGAAATACGTATCTATTTTCTAATGACCGAATTGCTTATTTCCTGGCAACATAAAGCTCAGTCCATGGTTTCCTTGTTCAATCATCACTTCAGTGTTCTGGTGATGAAGCTGCCATACCTTGAGTTGCCGGAAACCTGTGTTTGTATGTTCAAATCACAGATTCAGGGGATGTTTACAGGTTTACAAGCACCATGCATTCCACAACAGTTCACTGATGCAGAGTTGTACCCCTTGGCATGCCAAAAAATGTCTTTGTTCAAATCCTACTGCTATATAACTGCAATATTGTTCTGTGTGCAGTTAACTCAAATTCGCTGTCCCTGTTTTCCTCATCACTCTGGAAACAGTTATACTGAGATGAGGCATCCTGTGAGCACAAGTTTACAGTATTCATGTTCCTGTGACAGCTGCACCATTGTAGTGCTTATTGTGTACAGGAACAACGAACGAGGGTTCTCACTAAAGCTTCATCAATTGATTCATGTTTCTATTAACTCAGTAAATTGTTTTGTTCAACAAGCTGGAGAAGTGGGTTGTCTGGTTTTTTTTCTTACATGCTGCAACCTTTGAGTTACCTAACGATATGTGTAACATCTATGTTTCATCGTACACTTATTTGTGGATTATCTAAGTTATCTGAAACCCCCTTTGAGTTACTGAACACCATCTATGAGTCATCAAGTCAATATCTAGGTTATCCAGAATCCCCTACGAGTTATCCAACTCTACATTTGGGTTATCCAGAATCCCCCTACGAGTTATCCAACTCTATATTTGGGTTATCCAGAATCCCCTACGAGGAGGTACCCAACTCTATATTTGGGTTATCCAGAATCCCCTACGAGGAGGTACCCAACTCTATATTTGGGTTATCCAGAATCCCCTACGAGGAGGTACCCAACTCTATATTTGGGTTATCCAGAATCCCCCAACGGGTTAGGAGGAGGTACCCAACTCTATATTTGGGTTATCCAGAATCCCCTACTGAGGAGGTACCCAACTCTATATTTGGGTTATCCAGAATCCCCATCTGAGGAGGTACCCAACTCTATATTTGGGTTATCCAGAATCCCCTCACTTAGGAGGTACCCAACTCTATATTTGGGTTATCCAGAATCCCCTACGAGGAGGTACCCAACTCTATATTTGGGTTATCCAGAATCCCCTACGAGGAGGTACCCAACTCTATATTTGGGTTATCCAGAATCCCCTACGAGGAGGTACCCAACTCTATATTTGGGTTATCCAGAATCCCCTACGAGGAGGTACCCAACTCTATATTTGGGTTATCCAGAATCCCCTACGAGGAGGTACCCAACTCTATATTTGGGTTATCCAGAATCCCCTACGAGGAGGTACCCAACTCTATATTTGGGTTATCCAGAACCCTGTACAAGTCATCCAACTCTATATTTGGGTTATCCAGAACCAGTGATCATCAGTGCAATATATTCATTTCTTTCAGATGTTTTTGGCATTTTTAATCAAACTTAGTTCTCCGATATTTATTGATAATCGATTGCTATTTTGTTAATGATTATCGATCCCTATCACCCATATCGATAGTCAGCCTACAAATCACAGGTGGATCTTTGGGTGTTTCTGGACAGCCACTGTGGTGGAGATAAGGGCCATTTTCATTATTTACTTTTTGTTTGGATATTCCTCTATATCATTGCCAAATTTTAAAATAAAAATTGATGTTTGGCAAGACAGACAGACAGTGCATATCTTAGAAATTGAAATACAACTTAAAATTGTCAAAAAAACAAAACAACTTTAGACCCAAATCACTTATTCAGTAATTGATTCTTTTGTGCCCAAACCCCTGAATAAATAAAAATAAATGCTTACTTGTGTAATCAAAGCATGCGTGGTTGTGAAGCGTAAGCAAGGCATCTTGTTGCCTTCACCCAGATAACTATCTCTAAGCTTAATTACTCGAGTTTAGGATCACAGAAAGTGAGGGCACACTGATGTTTATGTCTAATTAAATACTGATGTAATGTTTTGGGTAGTCATGAAACTGGGTTAAGAGTCCTTAATGAGCTAATTGGCTCACTGTAAAGGATGCCCAATCGATAGGGACATGTTTTCTTAGTATTTCATAAGATCAATGAAATGCTTGGTGCTCGCAGCTTCAGAGCTGAGGGAATTGGTTTAAGGGTACTTGTGAAGTGTCGAGTCTTGATGGAATTAACAACAGGCATTTTTGTCAGGATTGAGGATTTTGCAATTCAGCATAATAGTTTGAAAAGGTTTGGGATGCAAGAAGCAAAGAAATGTTCTAGAAAAGCATTATCAAGCTGATTTATCTTATTGATTTACCACTGATCAATAATTGGCCAAGTGTGATCTATTGGAAGTTAACAATTTGTTTTAATTGCTCTAATGCAACTCTGAAAAGAGTCTTCAGTGAAATGGAAAGTATTGTATGTAAGTGATATACATGATTCAATCAGGGGGGGTGGGGTAGCCCAGTTGTTAAAGCGTTCACTCGTCACACAGAAGATCCGGGTTCGATTCCCCACATGGGTACAATGTGTGAACCCATTTCTGATGTCCCCAGCTGTGATATTGCTGGAATATTGCTAAAAAGTGGCATAAAACTAAGCTCACTCACTCTCTCATGATTCAATTCATGTCATCTAGTATGCAGCAAGGTGAGACCATGTCCACTTAAAGGGTGGGGGAATAGAACCCGTTGTTGCTCATAATAACACTCACTGGATGGTTTGTGCCAAACTTCATTACAAGCCTCTTATAGCTGGAAATATAGCGTTAAATAACAGCAACCGCTTTTCAATGTTAGTTCCTTGGTCTGATACCCATGAAGATCTGCGTTAGAATTCAGCAACCCATGCTCATCATAGAAGGTGACTAACGGCATTGGGTGGACAGGCTCGCTGACTTAGTTGACACATGTCATCGTATCCAAATTGTGTAGATCGATGCTCATGGTGTTGATCACTGGATTGACTCGATTGACTCGATTACTTACAGACTGCCGCCATATAGCTGGAATATTGCTGAGTGTTGTGCTAAACAGCAAACCAACCAATTCTTTGTCTGAAATGTTTTTAGCTGGATTAAAGGGTTGAATTGGTGTATTTAATTACTGTTGCAACACATGTTCGGATGTAGTACCGAAACATTGGTATGACTGCAAGCTCCACAGTTCAGTGTGTTGGTGTAGTGGATAGTGGGTCGCCGGAGAGAGGAAAGCTGGTGTTGCGATTCCTAGATGCATCATACTGTAGATGCTAAAACATGTTGTTTCCCTGTCTGACTTGTGGCATTAATGGGGGAACACAAGGACTTGTCAGCTCCGCATCATTATACTGTTTCTGTATACTGTTTCATTATACTGTAAACCGTGAAGATGCGGGTTAGAATTGGTCTTCATATTAGTATACAGCGTGGTATCTCTGTGGGTAACTGCTATGAAGCTAGAGCAATCAAAGACACACACACATCACAAAATATACAATAGTCTTGGGGGCGGTGGGATAGCCTTGTGGTTGAAGCAGTGACCCACAAGGTGCAATGTGTGACCGTTGGTGTGCCACACAAAGATATAAGATGCCCTTGATAGTCACTTCTATGTTTTTGTCTTCAGGTAATGCCTTGATCAAGTCCGGCCAGGCTCAGATGCGTATCGGCAATGCAGAGAGAGAGTATGTCCAGTCGACAGTGAACAACTTCCTCACACCACTCAAGAACTTCCTGGAAGGCGACATGAAGACCATAATGGTAGGAGTTCTGTCAGGGATGCTGTAGGAGCTCTGTAGAACATCTGTAGGAGCTCTGTAGGAGCTCTGTTGATGTCTGTAGATTTGTAGGAGCGCTAAAGATCTGTCAGACCTCTATTGGAGATCCATTTGAGCTCTTTAGGAGTCCTTTGTACATAGGAGGGAGATCTGTTGGTGTTGTGTAGGAGACGCGTGGGAGTTTGGTGAGATCTGTAGGTGTAGATCTCTAGATCTATAGATCTCGGTCAATGATTTGTGGATCTATACAAGCTCTGTTGATGTTTTATAGATCTATAGAAGCTCTGGGTATGTTTTTTTGAACTCTGAAGGAGTTCTGTGGAGTCCTGTTGATCTGTAGGAAGGAAATCTGGGGGAGTTCTTGTGGAGATGCTTAGGAGCTCTGTAGATGTTCTGTATATTAGTAGGAGTCCTGTGCGAGGTGGGGTTTTGTAAATATGTTCAGATGCTGAAAGATATTTGAGAAAAGCATTTTGCCTCTCATTTTTCCATAGAGATTTATCAATAACACCTTTTCATTAAATTAGTATTGGGACATTCCTCTATACAATCAGTTAACGTACCATGATCAGGACCAGTGAAGATTCGGGTTAGAATTGATCTTCAGTAACCCATGCTTGTCGTAAGAAATGACTAACGAATGGTCAGGCTCACTGACTTGGTTGACACATGTCATCAGTTCCCAATTGCGTAGATCGATGTTCATGCTGTTGATCACTGGATTGTCTGGTCCAGACTCGATATTTACAGACCGCCGCCATATAGCTGTCATATTGCTGAGTGCGGTGTAAAAGTAAACTCACTCACTCACTAAAATGAACAAATCTTAAAACCCTTTGTCATCTGAAGGAGTCACTTCTTTGTTACTAAAATCTTCTAATCTTCAACTCATTTTTTAATCCCTCACTGTGCATTTTGTAGAAAGAGCGTAAGCTCCTGGAGAACAAACGCCTTGACCTTGATGCTTGCAAGAGTCGACTGAGGAAAGCCAAGTCTACCACTGCCCAGCAACAGGTGAGGGTATATATGTCATGTGACCTGATCACATGACATGTCACATGATGTATCAAGGACTGCTCAGTTTTTGTCCCACTTTCTGACATTGACAGAGAATGTATAATCCTGAAAATGCTGTCAAGGAGGATTAGGCCAGGTCAGTTTTATGTTTTACAGGAATAAGTAGCCTCGGTATATGTAGGCAGAATAGAAAAAAGAAGAAACAAGCGACTGAATTTACTACTATGTATTACTCGTTACCATGTTTTCTTGTGTATAACTGCCGTGATGTTGCTGGAATATTGCTAAAAGCGGCGTAAAACCAAACTCAGTCAGTCAGTCAGTCTTGTGTATAATACACACGGTGTATTATTTGTCATAAAAAATGCTGTTGTTTCTTGCTGGAATGACTGGAATGAGAGAAGGAACAATTTGGTCCGAATGTCAAGTAACTTTCATGTATTTACTGACTGACCCTGGGGCCGTGGGGTAGCCTCATGGTTAAAGCGTTCGTTCGTCACGCTGAAGACCCGGGTTCAATTACCCACATGGGTACAATGTGTGAAGCCCATTTCTGGTGTCCCCGGCCGTGATATTGCTGTAATATTGCTAAAATCGGTGTAAAACTAAACTCCTTCACTCACTACTGACTGACCAACGACTGTTGAAACGGCTGTTTGTTTCTCTGAATCATGCACATCCGATACACAAACTGGAAAAGTCAGAAAAGAGGAAACAAAAAACAACATCTTTGAAACATCACGTGACAGCATTCCTTTCGGTATTTATGCATCCATGTGGCTTGCTTCAATATATATGTGATTAACTGTGTCTGATCTTCTCATGAATAATAGCCATATTTTCAAGTATACTATTGTCTTTTCCACAATGGGATGTTTCCAAGGGAAGATGATAGATTTTGTATGCCCTGAAAGTCTAACATATCTTCTATATAGCCTGTTTAGTATTGATATATTAGTAGACTAATGCAGATCTGCATCTGACATTGTCATCTCTCATGATTTGTTACAGTTGCAATTACTCATTTGACAAGTGTATATTCCACAGCATTGTTCAGTATAGATTAGATTCTTTGTATATTGTAATGACAATCTTTCTGCTTATAACCCTTCTCTCTTCCAATTACACGATACATGGTAAGCATGTGATGTTGCTGAAATGGTCTGATATTTTATATTACTACCCCCATGTCGTTTGTTCATCCTACATTGTAACATTTAACTCTCATTGAATTAATCATTTGATTTACAAGACTTCTCCTGAGGCTTCCTATGTAAGTTATCATCTAATTTGCATATATTTGCATAATTTATGAATATGCAACAGTTCCAGTTTAAATGCATGTCATTGTACATGTATGTGCTTCCACTGTTTCTTTCTTGTGGAATTAAGATTTCTCTTGTAAAGACATTCCAACTGAGTTTTTGACAAGAAAATACTTATTGGGTATGGCGTGTACAAAAAATAAATAGTTGCTGTATTTCATGCTTTTTTTTCTTGTTTCATTTTCACCCTATTTCAATATATTTTATGATATTGGGTACTGGACATGCTCAAATCTGTTAGTCTTGTCTTGCAGTACTGAAAAAATATCAGTGGACTCATGTCATTTTGATTTTATTTTTTACAAGTATAACTTTCAAAATGTTTATGTATTTCCTTTTAAAAGAACACAAAAGATAATCCAGTGCTACTTATCCTCTAGAAATGGTGTCTTCGTCCCCTATAATCTTTGATAATTGGAATTATATTTATTACGCATGTTAAACTACAGGAAACGTTTTTCTGATTTATATTTTGTCACATTTTCCCAGAATTTATTTCCTGCATTTGCTTTGAAAGCATTTTAGTATGCATGATTCAAATTAGAGTGGGTTGTTCATCTTAAATAAAATCCCATTTTTTTTCATTTTGTTGATGTTTTGAAGATGGAAGGGCATTTCCATACAACGTCATGTCAGATGAACTTTCAAATTAGTCAATCAGTGTTGAGGGTTATGACTTTGTGGTACACGTGAGTGGAACATTCAAACCAACATCTGAATTCTGTATTCGGCTTTAAACAGTTCCTGATGTGAATAACGAAGGCTGTGCCATTATAATATTGAGAACATTTCAAATGTCTTATCATTTCTAGGGGTCATAGCATCAACAGAATATCTGTGGTCTATGTGGGTATCGTTATGTTGAAAAGAGAATTTTGGATTCGAGGCTATAATGGATCCAAATTATTGTAGAAAGCTGTCGTCTGATTGGCATGAAATCCATGTAAACTTCATTCAGATTATGCTATCAAAGTTCACTGAAAGTTCACCTGATGTGACCTGTGGAGGGGTTGTCAGATTTCCATAGAGACGTGACTGTTGTCGAACTCAAGTACACGATCTGATTTCATTATGTTGAAGCGTGATTCATGTTTGGACCATAATAGGGTCACCCCTACTCTAAATATAATCTTATTAAGTTTTTCCAGTACTCCTATATTGAAAAAATAAGGAGTACATACTCTTCATGTTGAAAAATTATCTGGAGCCCTGATCCCAAAACACACAAGAACAATAACATAGGTGATATGAGCCCACTGAAAATAGATGCTAAATGTACTCTGACAGGTATGGTTTTATATTAGTATTTCAAAATCCAGTAAACAACTCTTGTATCAAGTGCTTGTTCATTGACGAGGGGCACGTTTCACAAAGGGATTGTTATGTAAGTCCATGTGAACACATTGGAGCTACTACAATAGCCTCTTTGTGAAATGGGGCCCTATTATTTCGAGACTGATGTCATTTTTTGAGAAGAAATCATGAAATTGAAACTGTTTTTCTTTTGCGAACAAGGCCAACCCGTATCAGTCGTTTGAGACTGAGGTTTGATAATTCTGAGATTCTCGTGTTTTGTGTTGTCATAGTTACAGCATGGATGCCCTAAGGGGTAGAACCCTGTAGTTTTTGCCACACGTTAAGCTAGTTCTAAATTGTAGCACTTTATTTTATATTCTAGAGACACATGCAATTTATCTTAGTCAGAACGTCTAAGTTCTTTGATTTGGCAAATTCATTTTCTGTTTTGTTTTATAGTTGCAAATACACCAGGCCCCCGTTCCACAAAGCGTTCTTGGCAGTAAGACAATCGTAAATCCGATGCTTCAAGAAAGACTTACTACAGTCGTAGAACTGCAGTCGCTTTGTGGAATGGGGACCAATTTGTAGGTCATCACAATGAATGCATGTGATATGTAGTTCAAGGTAAAAATAGTCCATATATGTTTGTTAATTGAACATGCTGAAAGTAAAATCTGTCTGAGAAAAATGTTACCTGTGTGTTTGTTGCGAAAAACCTGCATGAAATGAATTTGACTTAAAAAATAATAATGTAAATATCTGATAGGTCAAAAAATTGCCTGAAATGGGAATCTGGTGGTCAAAATGGTGGCTCAATATGAATATGGTACTCTGGACCAGCATGATAGACAACCATTAAACAGTCACTTGTTGGACTGTGTACCATTATATAAAAGTATACCGAAGATGCATTGTTGCAGCAGCATCCTTTGGTTTGTCTGGTCCAGTCAATGGCAACAAGTTTGGATTGGGTGTTCAGACTGGCGGTGGGGTAGCGTAATGGTTAAAGCCTCACGCCGAAGACCCGGGTTCGATTTCCCACATGGGTACAATCTGTGAAGCCCATTTCTGGTGTCCCCCACCTTGATATTGATGGAATGTTGCTAAAACGGCGTAAAACCATACTTACTCACTCACTCAGACTGGTGTTCTGACTTGGCTGATTGGGTGTCCTCGTGCCCTGGTGCTCATAATTTCAGCCACTGGTTCTCCAGATCCATATTCACGTATTTACAGGACACTGGATGTAGCTGAAATATTGCTGATCTCAGCATAAAACAACAGTCCTTGGTTACACAGCCATAAAACTCGGGTTATAATAATTTGACATTTTTATCAATGGTTGCATAATAGAAAATGCAAAAACTAAGTTGGCTGGATTCTACACAATCAGGCTACCCTTGTAATGCACCAATAGCATGATAGTTGTCACTGTGTTAGTAGTATATAATTACATGTTTGTCAAGTTTCTGAAATAATAACACGTATGTATCATCATGATTCTTGTTTTAATGTTTGCCATGAAACTTATAATGGTAAATATTTTCATAAAAGCAATTAGTTTTCAAATGAAGATCAACATATATCATGTCAGTGTTCAGTAATGCCTAAATATGTATCTTCTCTAAAGAATATGGTATTATATCAGCTCTTGAACAAGTTGCGAAAATAAGAATGATTACTAATTTAAGCAAGAACGAGACACTTTCAACTTTTGGCCAATGGGATTCCAGGGCATTTAAGCAACCCAATATTGCTCCACCCTCATGCTGTTTGCCCCCCAGAAACGAGGATTTTTAAGTCACAGTATCTGATTTGTGCCAGTGTTGCCCTGTGGGTCAAACCCCTGATTTACCAGGGCCCTGTTCAGAAAGCAATCTCAGCACTAAGTTTATGTTAGAATATAGGAGAATGATCACCTTCATGCTCAGATTGCTTTGGGCAATGGGACCCTGGTCCAGACCTGATTATTTTCTGGCTGTCGGGATGTAGCTGGAATATGGCTACAGTTTAGCATTCACTAGCTTGTTCAACATACTGAAGATACAGTGTATTTGTTTGACTGCATGCTCATTGTTCCTACTCCTCAGTGACCACCCTTGCCAAACCCCAGCCACCCCCAACCACCCCCAACCCCAATCCATTGGCCACCCCCCAACCCCCAAGCCACCCTACACGGCCCTAAAGCTTCCCAAAATATATAATTTGTACTGAAACTCCCCTTTATGTCACAGTATAATATTTCCTAATTTATTGGTATATGGATTGAGGTTTCAAAACTTTTGTTTCATATTTAATCATTTTATTTTGTTAGGCATGACAAGTTATCTCCCTTACCAAAATGGCCGCCTTTGAAGTTTGTGTAACTACTGAAATTAGTCATGAAGGCAAATATATTTCCTTTATTTGCCAGATTGTGTAAGGCAAATAACTGAACATGTCAACTGAGATATGATCAATGAAAGTGTCCTATTTTCCAAGTTAAATACAAACAGCTCCAGTAGAAACGATGTTGATGTGATCATGTACAAATGGCTTCTTTTAACAATCAATATAATCAGACGTATGTTATACGCAATGTTGTGGTGCATATATATGAAATGAAACACAAGATTACTGATACTCCATTAATTTCCATTCAGTACTCCTATATTGAACAAATAAGGAGTATGTACTCCTGATGTTGAAAAATTATCTGGAGCCCTGTTATTACACTGAACTGATTATTTTATTCATATTTCTCAAAATTGTCACTTTTTCTATTTTCTATCCTTTATTCCATTAAGACCTTTTCAAGTTATTAGATACTTGATTGTTTTAAAATCCATCCATGGTATCTGCATGCGTTATTTGAGCAGGACCTTGTTGGGACTGTCCGCCTCCATCAACCTGGTTAATTCATAAATGCCTGGTCAGGTGGTCAAGCTTAAATGGGTGACACGGTTTTCCAGTTTCCGTTTGATCATGTTGATGTTGAATTATTAGCACTGCAAACCTGAAATCTTTTTTTCCTACGTTTCTTTGCTTCAATAAGTCTTTGGATTTTGTGAAGGGGTAGCTTGTTAAAGTCTTCCCAGTTTAGTCAATCTCTTATATGACATTTGCTTTAAATCCACTCTACATGTCAATTAGAACAGGCTAGTACTCTATGTTGGTGGAGACAAACGTTTGGATCCCAGCCAAAATATCAGCTGATTTCAAAATATCAGCTTATTTCAAAAACAATTTATATAATATTCATGTGTGTTTTCTGCCGTCCTTACTTGTCTGGAACACTATCTTTGTTTCATTTGCTTAAGTTACATATCCAGTGAGACCATCACATTGGCATCTTACATTGAATAGCTACATCTGTTTGGTCAATATCTAGAATAACATGTCAGCTACAAGAAAATAGATGTCAAGGATATGTGTTTACAAGATCATGATTTTTGGACGTATGATTTCTATCTCATCTTTAGTTCCATCCAGTGCAGGTGGCCCCAGGGTATCAGATCCCTGTGATTCTGGGTTCAAATCCTGGTTACCCCAGGTTATATTTCTAGGTTTGTAGGCATCATACCATTACTCGTGGATTTCAAGAATGTGGTCCACGTCTGTGACGTGCAACCCTTCTGGTTTTCCTGGAACAATAAGTAGGAATGCCTTCATATTGAAGTTCTTCCCTTCTGCAGTCTAATCCAGACAATCAGGTGGCTGATCATATGGAAAGGAATATTTCTGTCACTACAGTATGAATCAACTTTCACTTTTGTTATTTGTGGTCAGTTTAGGTGATAAAAGTTGCATCAACAACCTTGATGAATTTCCTTACATGTTTGGATTTTCGTTTGATGATAAAACCTTTTCAACTCGTTTCTGGGGATGTCCTTGGCCTCAGAAAGACAGCAATACTCCCTCAATTCTATCTTCAATTCTACCGTCTTCTGCTATACAATTTTACTGCTACAAACATAGCATGCAGAGGTTGCGGACATCTTACTGCTAAGATAACTTTGTGCTTGAGGGTAGTGATGCGTAGTGATGTTCATATGTTCATACTGAAGTACATGAATCACATTGACACTTCCGGAACTTAGGATTACAAGAAGGGAGAGAACTGCTGTGATATTGCTGACTGTCCTCCAAAGTGATCAGTCACTTATGATTCAAACTGACTGTTCCATATATGGTGTTCCTTCAATTTTCCTCCCATCCCACTTGCATGGTCCTGATGGCCTGATGGTCTCTGCCGAACAATAATCTCTGTGGGCAAAACATATCATATATTCCTACTGAACGTGTTTTTAAGAGTAGTGTTGAATCAGTTTGCATTTGAATTAGTTTCTTTCATCTTATTTTCTTATTACTGTCAAATATGATCAACTGACATTGAGGATGAATTAGGAGTAACACTAAATATATATTTTGATGAAACTAGTAAAAGTCGGACAATGTTGTGGGCCAGTATTGTACCATTGTGACGTTGTCTGCTGCTTATGAGCTTAATTTTCTCGATGTGTGACCTGGAATCCCATTGGTAACCATGGTAACACATGCCTCAAACTAATTGTCTCAGGCTCTGATTTCTTTTTGCTCTCTGCCTAACCAGGATGATGTCATCGCCAAAGTAAGTGACAGTGTCGCCTTGACATTCCTACTTTCTGTTTCGTTGTATGGGGCATCTCAAAAGTTCTCATGGCATTTTGCTAGATATCAACAGCATACCGTTATCATTTTATGTGTTGTGTGTTTAAAATCTTTTTGCATTGATGGAACAAGATTTTCATGAAGACTTGTAATACAAAGAAACTGAAGAATGTTTGATTTACATGTGAAATTTTGAGAATGACTTTTGTGATATTTGGTGTTTGCGATATGTATTAACTTTTGAGAAACTTTGATATGAATTTTAACTTTTTTTAAAAGCGTCAATATTGTCTATAAATAATTCTTGTATTTTCACAAAGCAACACGTCTGACACAAACATAAAATCTCTTGAGACAGTCCCTATTAACTGAAGACTTACCAGTACAAAACAGTCATTTCTTTTGAGGGAAGATAAAAGAAGGCTCCTGAGAGATTCTAAGGACATTCAGCTCTTGAGACACAAGATATGATTACGGTGCTGACAATATATTGCCAGGGCTATGAGAACTTTTGTCATGTTCTGTGTAGAATATGCTTACTTTCCTTGTTGGTGTCTGATATGGCAGATCGTAAACTATGATCAGTTATTATATCATGATGTGGCATGCTTCTGATTCTGTTACCATGGTAACATATATAATGTGATGATATCAAATCTATCTTTCATTCTTTATATGATATCGCTTGTCCCATCAGTCCCACCATATCCAGGTGACAGATTGTGGTTTTGTGTTTTACAATATTCTATATATGCGTAGCCAGGTATCAGGTGTGGCATTGTAATAAGACAAGACTGTTGTTTACATGTAATATCTCTCTTACTGGGATTAACTAAAGTCCAGGGGTATCCTCTGTTGTAAGCTTTAAAATATCGGCTCAAATCTCCATCACCTGAAGTATACACATTGTCTAGTCAAGATACACTAAGGGATCTGTGTAGGAACTGCAATTGTATATTGTCTTCAGTAACCCATGCTTGTCGTAATAGGCGACTAACGGGATCGGGTGGTCAGGCTCGCTGACTTGGTTGACACATGTCATTGTATCCCAGTTGCGTAGATCGATGCTCCTGCTGTTGATCACTGGATTGTCTCCTCCAGATTTGATTATTTACAGAGCGCGGTGGTATAGCTAGAGTATTGCTGAGTGTGGCGTAAAACTAAACTCACTCACTCACTATTACTTTTTTGCCAAAGTCATCCTTGAGGCCCCACCCTAAGAGGACAAAGCAGTTAAACTACAAGAAAGCCATGTGTGTTTCAATAACCAAGGTCTCCAACTAATGAATACAAGAAAGTTGTATTAATTAAGAACACACTATCTCCTGGGGGGTATTGTTCTTCACTATTTAGTGTATAGCTGGAGTTCCCCCATATTAATGCAAAATGTTTTCCTATCTACCGCATGGGAAAGAGCATGAATTTGTTTGGTCATTCCATCTACAGCCATTGATATATATCGTTACACATGTATGAATTATGTTTAAGTTGCAAGTATTGATAGACATATGTAGTGAATACAATCTTGGTTTGCCACCACCAGACCTTATGATGCTCGTGGATTCGCCCAAAGTGGTAAACATCTCTGACCTGTGAGATTTAGGGCTTTGCTCCCAATAATGCTGACACGCTGTGGTATTACTGAATTACGATGATTACACAATGCCATTTTAGAAAGTGGTCACATGTAACATATGTTATATTTGGGATTACACTTTCTTAGCAAAGTGCAGATTCTTGTACTTTTGTTGGGCTGAGTCCCATCCGGGATTCGAACCCACGCCGGACCCTGAGGTGCCTGATTCTGGGGGCGTGGGTTCGAATCCCGGATGGGACTCAGCCCAACAAAAGTACAAGAATCTGCACTTTACTAAGAAAGTGTAATCCCAAATATAACATATATTACTGAAATATTGTTCATGGTGTTAAACTAAACTCGCTCACTTACAGTAAAAACTGAAAGTATTGATTGCCACTGCAAACATGCTGTCACATGGTCAAGGGTTTGGGGCTTATATACTACTCAACATTTCATAGGGATAAACTGAGTATCAAGACAGGTCCTGAATGTGACTGATTGCTGGAAGAAGTTGTCATGCAAATAGTATTTAAATTGCTTTGGAACCACTCATTTTCAGCATAATTGACCAATAATAAGTAATTTGTAAAAATAATCCCCTTCAGCTGTTTTTTAGTTTTGTAACAGAATCCAATATGCCAGTGTCCCTATCAAAAGTTGAGTTGTATAGTTGGCATGGTGAGGTAAACTTTATACTGGAGGTTGCTGTAGCTTTAGGAAGAGCAATAATATCAGTAAATGGTATTCAGCTATCAGGGTTGGTTATCATATTTATTCCATGTTTTGTAATAATGTTCTGTTTTTGTATATCTATACTTATAATGCTATATTCATCACCAGATGACTCTGAAATGGTTGATATTCTAATGATGTATAAGCTGCTTCCAGCTTTGATACAGAAGTTTAATGTTTGTTCATATGTCTGTAATATTGATGAACTGACCAACATCGTCATAAGCGTATGCTATTATTCTGTTTTAAATTAGATCATTTAGAACACGACCTCGATAGTTATCAGAGAATTCTGTTATTTGTTTGCCGCCATGGCTGCATGCTGATCTGTCAAGTAATCTGATCCTGATATTCATTTTTATGAACATGTGACAATGTGAACATTGCCTGGTTTAGTTTCAATAATTGTTTCATTTTCTCCTCCCTGGCATATATATTATATATATTATTCATATATAAAAATCAACATGTAATGCGAGTTTGAATACTGTTAAGATGTAACATCCAAGTCAGCGACATAATTTTTGGTGTATTTTAATGTTTTATATTCATCATCATAAACAATATTGTGTCCAAGCATGAGAAGCATGACAAGTCTATCAGATCTTTCTCATTCTACACTTTGAATAATCCTGAATAGTGATGTGCACGGAGTAAGGTGCTGATGGTCAAAGGGAGACAACTCCGAAGCTCCTATTCTGTGTTCTCCTCATGTGTGACAAATAACTGTATATCTGTGGAAAATGTCTTAAAGTAAGGGGACAAGCAGATGATATTTGAGTCATAGGATTTTGCTGGAGATAAGTAGCTTCAGGACATTTTCATGTTTTTATCACTGTTATGGAACAAATTTTAGCAAAATAGCAACTTTTTGTGACAGTCATTGTCCTAGGAAATAGGTTGATCTGAAAACTTTGGGTTCAAAAAGTAATGTTAACAATAAGTCCTACCTTAAGTCATACATGTACATAGTTAGCATCGTACTGAGACTAGTTCCTGTAAGCTGGCCCTGGAATTTGATGTATGCCCTAGATTTGATATCTCTCTTCTATGTTTTACAAAGTTAACATAGAGCTGTGGGCCATTCCCTTACTTGTCTTAGTCTCACCTTAGTACTAAGATGAGCAGGCCTGATCCGTATTCCACAAGCAGTCTTAGCACTATTGTTAGCCTATGTAGAGTAAGAGAATTCCAATCAACTTGGCACTGAGATCACTCTGTGGGCCATTCCCTCACTTGTCCTAGTCTCACCTTAGTACTAAGATGAGCAGGCCTGATCCGTATTCCACAAGCAGTCTTAGCACTATTGTTAGCCTATGTAGAGTAAGAGAATTCCATTCAACTTGGCACTGAGATCACTCTGTGGGCCATCCCCTTACTTGTCTTAGTTTCACCTTAGTACTAAGATGAGCAGGCCTGATCCGCATTCCACAAGCAGTCTTAGCACTATTGTTAGCCTATGTAGAGTAAGAGAATTCCATTCTACTTGGCACTGAGATCACTCTGTGGGCCATATTGTCTTAGTTTCACCTTAGTACTAAGAGAGCATTCCATTCCACAAGCATAGCTCTATTGTTAGCCTATGTAAAGTAAGAGAATTCCATGCTACTTGGCACTGAGATCACTCTGTGGAACCCTGCCATCGACCTTCCTGGTCAGAGGGTCAAATGTGGCGCTGCCATGTCCACCTTCAGGAGTTCACACTGACCGCACTTCAGTCTGTGTCCGTCTCAGTAATCAGCCAACAGTTGACTGACACTGACTTGTGTTTCTTTGTATTCCAGGCGGAGGCTGACCTTCGTGTTGCCCAGTCCGAGTTCGACAGACAAGCTGAGATCACCAAGATTCTCCTTGAGGGAGTCAACAGCACCCATGTAAGTGATTAACAAATGGAGTTATCAGTGATTGTTGACATGAAAACTGTGTCATCAATAATATCTTACAAACACAATCGGATATCGGAAATATCGTTATTGGGAAGAGTTATCAGTGATTATTGACATGAAAACTGTGTCATCAATAAAATCTTATAAACACAATTGTAGTTTAAATTTACACACACAGTACACAAAGTCATGTCATTATTCATGGGCTGCTAAATTATGTTCAGAATACTGTTTTTGTTGGTTGATTTTTGGAGACTTTTTTATTTATTTTGCTAAAAGTTACTTCTCCAGTATTTATCAATCATCAATCAATATTTGAATAACGATAATTGATCTCTATGATCCATGTCTAAAGGCAACACTACTATTGGCGTGGTTAATGGATCAGGGTACACTACATTCTCAGCTTCCTTGGGAGTGAGAACATGGTAGGCTGCTATTGACTGTACAGAGTTGCATGCCTTGATTGCATCAGGAAACTGTAAACATGGGCTTGAGTCCTGGTTCATCCCAATTATGTTTCCAGGTTGTCAATGCCCTACCAATGCTTGAAGGTTTCTCAAAAAGTGGTAAAACTCTAAGACCTGGTTTTTTTAAGAACTAAGACTTTTGTTATACTACTCACATTTAGTTGACACACCCTAATATAACTGGAATACTCTTAAAGTAGCAATAGGCCAAACTCACTCACTTATACAAGTATACATGCCAAGTTGTGGTTAAGCTTCACAAGTAAAGCTGAAAGAGCAAAGTAAGTAGAATTTTCTTGGCAATAAGAGATCTTTGTGGAATAAGGACTACCACAAAGACTGTTGTATGCCTGGGTTGAAGTGTGGGACTTGGTGTTATGATGGTCTTTAAGCAAAGATCACCCTGTGGAATGGAATCCTTGACCCTGTGATGGACTAACCACCCTGTTATTGCCTCATCAATGTTTCTTCCATATGTGCAGGCCCATCATCTCCGCTGTCTGAACGACTTCATCGAGGCCCAGGGCAACTTCTACGCTCAGTGCTCCCAGTACATCAGGGACCTTCAGAGCCAGCTGGGGAGGTAGGTGTCACACAGTGTCCTGACATCCTTGCTTGGGGGTGGGGCTTGTAAGGTCCGGGCTGGTTGCAGTCAAGCACCCTCTTTGTTGTTGCTAGTTCATGGACAAGCCTACTGTCTGCAAAGATTATGCTAAAAGCCAAGTTTGGTCCAGTAGACTCAAATGCACACAGACTTTGAATCCTCAAAGAAAGTCATCAGTGCCATAAGAGAAGGGTAACACAAGTAAATACTGAATGGCTCCCAAACTATGGCACTGAGACAGTAGGCTTGTTTGTGGTGAGGGAGAGGACTGTAGAAACTGTACAAGGGTTTGTTGTGGCAAGGTAAGTGGTAAGATGTACAGAGCTGTCTTAGTTCCTCTCCCTCAGGACTTTATCGGGAGCAAGGGACACAAACAATATGACATTCTTCAATTGTTATTACAGATCTGCAGATGTTAAAAATCAAGATATGATTCAAAATAAAACTTGAGTTTTTTTACTAACTACCTGGTTTACCAGATATATATGAAGCATGTTCCTTGTAATTCTGAATTATCTTCACAGCTTCACTAGGAATGTGTTTCTTGTTGAAAATTCTTGTTGCTGTTTAATTTTCAAGTCACTTTTCACAATGAAGCCAAGTGAAAAATAGAAAACTCGACATATTTAATCTAATCCTGAAGCTATTTCAAAGAAAATGATATTGATTTTGAATTTTGAGTTTTATATATATTTTCTTGTTTGCCCACAACCCACTAAAAGGTTTTGAGACAATATTCCATAAACCAACTTAGAATAAAGAAGGTCCTGAGTCAGGTCACATGTTCCCCAAACTGTCATGTGTCATGTTCCTGGTGGTGTGGGAGGAAGACCTGGGTGCCATGTCATATGACGAGCATTGCTTCATACACTATCAAGTTTTAAGTGGAATTGATATTTGATCTGGATAATTCCAATGTTACCTTTCAGGAAGAAAAATAATTAGTAGATTCTGTGTGTCAAATTTGTCAAATGAAATCTTACGCCCAACAGCAGGACAGAAGGGTATTGAAAAACAATGATCCCATTCATCTCCACCAATCGAGGCTAATTTACTGATTCCGCATGGGCAATAACTACTCCTGCCATTTGAAGAAGCAATATTCAAGCAGCACCTGTCACTCTACAGAACTTTCCAATAGAACTACATGTATTGGCCCCATATCTCCCAATTTTGAGGAAAACCTTATTGACAAAATATTTAGAATAGTAGTGTACAATTTTTTACAAGCATAAGGTTACACAAAGTTTTAGATCCATTAGCCCTGAGATATGTCTGTATAACACCAACTGCTGTGTTAGGGTGTTGGTTCACCGAGCAATGCACTTGCTAAACATTCACCAAAACACAGCCATGTGTTAGTGGATTACGCCAGCACCGAGCCTGTGCTGCACTGTGTATGTGACTGTACATGTTTTGCCCATGTTTTCAGTGTGTCAGCTGCCACCCCACCTAGTGGTGATATGGAGTAAGCAGAGCCGACTTACATCTTTGCATTAGTGTTATTGCCAACTTATTGGTAGGAGTGCATCAGTCAGTTACCGTCAACAGCTTCGAGTACGCAGAGAACATCCTTCAAGAGCTCAATTATCACAACAAAAGTTTCTTTCAATATACCCCAAAAACATTTCCTGAGCAGTTTTCAGAAATGATCTGTGTATAATGAATGCCATGGGGAAATATGATTCTTTTTTAAAAGAATAAATTTTAGTGCGATTGTTGAGGTTGTCGATATTGAGCATTGACGGACTTCTTTGATATTAGTGCTCCTATGCTAATTAATTTTTACTTGTTTTTTTCCTCAGTGTTGAGGTCCGAGCAAGGGCCCAGCCTCTGCTTGCTTGTGTTGTCTTAGATTAGAAACCTGTCATCTTGCATAGTGGGTCGGATTCTGACATATGTTCCAGATCACTTCAACTTTGTATGGAGCTTGCAAACTGCTCTTCAGGAACAGTTCTTGATAAAACTGGAAGAGTCTTCACCTGACTTGAAGAAAATATACCATGTGTTCAGGTGTAGACTTTAGCAACTAGTCCCAAGCCAGAGTCTAATAAAATGTTGTTCGGCTTAGCACTAATTGTACAGAAAAAGATGCGAAGAGCCAAATTTGGGTAGTAGCCATAAAGTACACTGTGTATGCATCACCAATCTGATGAAATAGTAACTGGATTTCAAGATTCTACATCAGTTTGTAGGTGTCAGAGATACACTTTGAAAATCTTACTTCATCAATCTACATCTTCATCGATGGGATAACCATCACTTCAGAAACTGAGCTACCTCAGAAAAGTTTACTTCATCAATCGATAGAAATCCTGGAAAAATCGCCTAACATCCAGAAAAGACATCCAACCGTCAGCGATGTGTAAATGTAGTATAATATGGGGTGCTGCTGAAGTTGAGAATATTGCCAATTTTATTGTGCTGGCCCCTTTGAGATACTGTGCCACAGTTTCACATGAACAGTATACTGACTGAGAGCCAAGAGTTTTTGTCTTTATCCCCAAACTTCCACTGGCCGACAGAGGTAGTCCTGAAGCAGACGACAGTTTTCATGGAGATATCTGGAACATTTGTCTTTATCAGACCTGTCATGGTGTCATTTTCATTCAGCTGTCAGAAAGAAATGGGGAAGAGTAAGAAATAATTAGAACAGAAATTGGCTACAGATTCCATAATGAAGAAATGTCACATTTCTCTCTGACAGCCATATCATTAGTATGAACTTTTATGAATATTATTATTTTTTTTGTAGAACATTTTTAAATATTATCTAGATCATTTTTGCACCTTTATTTAATGTCCAAGTTTCTTTTTGGTATCGTATAATTTTCTTGATTTGTAGAAATAGTTTGAACCAGAGGCACGGACAAGGTGGATAACTCTTCTCTGTAGAGAAGCTGCAGTTGTCTCCCTTTGAATTGTACAGTTTCTGCACATAGATGCATAAATTGCAGTTTTAGATCACACTGCTTAATTTTCCCTGTAGAAAAATGTCTGCCTTACTAACATTGGCCCATTTTGTAAAAACAAAATATGTTTTAATGATTGGATGTGTCGTTCATTTTAAAAGATATCTGGTGAATGAAATTTCTAAGGCACGGTTTGTTTCTTATTCTCAGCATCTTGAAAACCTCTGAAAACAACACAAATTATACTCTAAAATTTCAAATTTGAATTTAACAATTTTTTAGAGAAAGTATGTATCTAATGCATAAACACATCCAATGGGGTTATTCTCAGATGTACATGTTTCATGAAAATAGTTTTCCAAAATATTTTTTGTTTTGGTTTACAGTTGACTATATTGGCACACCCTTCTGTAGCTTATCAACCTGCATAAGTTCCTCATAACATTTCATCTGCTATTCAAGCAACACCACCTATGCTTCTTGGAAAAGGCATTCAAAGACATGAAAGTATAACAAGCTGGTGGCACTCATGAGCATTGCTTTCTATTAACAAGTTTACATCACGTCCCAAAGAAAACTCTCGAAAGGTTGCAATCCTGAAAAAAGTCCCAGATGCTGGATTTGTACAAAAAGATCACAGTGAGCAATTGCTGCTCATTTGTGGAAATATAAGACTTTCTTTCTCTTTGGCATTCTGGACATCTTCGAAAGTTCTGGGAAAAGATGTTTCCACTGTTTGTAGAATGTAAGAAATTCTGTTTCAAAGCAACGGATTCAAAAGATGGTACCATGGAATTTCCCTTGAACCAATTAAGAAGTTGTGAAGTCATCTGTCACCTAAAAATTGTGAAGAATTTTGATTAGTAGGGAGTGTGTGGCTGGCCTCACAGGACAAAGGTTGTTCCTTTCACAAAGTCAGCTTCTCTAGCAGGTTCTGCTATTCCAATAGGGGCACTCTTCTTACAAATTGCATCCAATAGTTCTACACCTAAACGGTATAACAAGCATGGTTATAGGAGGTGGACTGCTACCACAGTGCTATGTTTTGATCATTTCACTGCACAATGTATGTTTCTTTAATGCATTCCTCAACACCAAATTTATGTTTCTCCAAACTGAATGACACACCCAATCCATCAAAATTCATCTTGTTTAACATGCGGAAATCACAACAAAACCATCAGTGATCATCCATCTTCCTGGGACTGCGGAGCATTCATCGGCCTGTCTCTGGTCTGCTTGTTATGTTTGGTTTTGTCTATCTTTCAGTTATTCTGTTGGGTCAGCCACAAGCATGGGTGGTGGGGCGCCCTCTAATATGCATTCCTCCAGTGTCCCAAATTCCAACAGCCCCTTGATGCCCTCTGCACCCCCTGCAATACAAGTCACAGCACCCACTCCAACTGAGAAAAAACAGGCCCGAGTATTATATGACTACGATGCGGCAGATAGTACTGAGTTGTCATTATTGGCAGATGAGGTATGACTGTGTGTTCGATAAGTTTCTTGTTTGGGTTATCTCCCCTTGACAGGTAGTAAGACTGGGTGAATGGGCTTGTAAGAGACCATTCAACTAAGAAAGAGTTATGTCCGATTTTTATGAAAGATTAGATCTAAAAACAGGTTTGGATAAGCAATATGGCCCATTCAATAAAAACTATAAATATTTTGGTGTTGCTGTGAATCAAGAAGTAGTATTTCAAACATTGATTGGGTCTGTACAGGTTACTCGAGCCAAACATTAAATTCTAAATATGGCAGCTTGGGACAAAGGCGAGCTTGATCCTCATCTTGAGCAAGGATGCTCTGTAAAGGGCTGAGGATGTTTTCACATTTCATTTATTTGTTTACATGAAATTCAGTATGAAATTTTAAATATTCTTCCAAAACATAATGCTTTGATAAGCAGGCAGTGGTGAATGTAGATTTCATTTGGTTTGTATCAGTAGAGGATAATTGTGAATTTATCATCAATCTGGAATGTTGAGTACAAATGCAATCTTGTCTATGTATTTGATTGTCTGCAATTCACAACAGAGTTGTGTGATCCAGACCAGTGTATGAAACTCCCAAAAATTTCAGCCAGGTTAGATGTAAAACTTGCCAGCCCTGACCAAAACTTACCTGCCCACAAAATATCTTCCAATACATGTCTAAATTTACACCCGACTGTCGGGCAGGTGAATTTGAGAATCTGGCAGCCCGTGTTGAAAATAACCAGTCCCGGGTTGTCGGGCAGGCAGGTATTTCGAATGCTGATCTAGACTTGTGAGAAACCTGTGATACTGGATACTTGGTTTGTCCTGATTATGTTTGTGGTTTGCCAGCGCCGTTGTCATGGGTTTCACCAAAGTGGAAATGTCAGTTCTAAGTCTTGAGTCACTTCAATCTTTCCTCCCACAGTAAGCAGATATGTTACGATATTCCAAAATGGCGGGTGACCAAACTCCTTCACTGCCACTACCCTCTGACTGTGGCAAAAAGCAATTTAAAAGGAGACAAAGATGGCAATGGTTTTTGACATCATTCATTGCTGTACCTTAGCAAGAATATCTTCTTTCGAATCTCAAATTAAAGTTTAGACACCAGTCAAAATGTAACCATACTGTTCAAGGGGAGATAACTCATCTTAGTTCAGTATCATTCTAAGTATTTCTAAATGTTCAACTTTACTGAAATTCATGATTGCTTTTTGTCAGGTGTTTGCTCTCATGAGTATTTATTCCACCTTTTCAGAGAATATTCCAATGTGATCAGCAAATAAATGTTAAAATCTGCATTCAGATGCTAAGACAAAAGAAGAGGTGAAATAATTTGTATACAATCATGTAAATCTGAATGTGTCACGCAGCTGTTGTTGATATTTATCTAGAGGCTGTTTAATTTGTTTCATTTTAATGTTTTTCTGTTTCTCGATGGTTAGTTCATGTTGCATTGGTGTTTCTGTGGCTGTCACCTTCTTTGATATTGTCTTTTTCCTTCCAGGCTTAGAGATAGGGCCACTTCTCATATTTAAAGGGAGATAACTAAACATTCTGATAAAGGGAGATCACTTTTGAGATGTTGAAAGGGTTATGTAAAATCTCTGAAACATTGTCCATCAAATCAATTATATAATCTCAAGAAATGTTTTAATATGGTAGTACATACATTTCTGTTATATAGAGATACTATTCCTTTGAATATAGTTAATGATACGAACATTTCTATACCATTCTATCACATACATAATTTTGTATTCCACATAATGTCTGATGATATATTTTGTAATTGCCAAAATTTTGTCTTTCTTGTTCAGAACTGATTCTATGCATACTGTGATCGTAGTTAATGGATTAAGGTGGAGGGGATCTTTGACTTATTTGATGGCGTATCATCGTACCTAATGCTGTTGATTGTTGATCATTATATCAATCACTGGATTGTCCGGTCCATGCCCAGTTATTTCAGGCTGCTGTTATTAAGTTGGAATACTGTAAAGCGTTGCATTACACAATAATCAATCAAAACAAAACAATAACCGTAAGCAGTTATCAAAAGCATATCAAACTGTTCATCCTACTTAAAGTTGAATGTCCAGGAATTGGGATAGAGAACTTTGACAATGTGCCATTTTCAGGATTATTAGCCATCTTCAGAATTCAGAATGGGCCACTGCTCTTGTATCAATAGTAAACTTCAGAATTTTAATGGGCCATTTTATATTCTAATGTGCAAAATGGCCCATGGCCCCTGCCTTTCCCAATCCCTGGATGTCAATCACAGGATTGTCTGGTTCAGACTCGATTATTAACAGACTGTCACCATATAGCTTGAAAATTGCTGATTGCAAACAAACAAACCAAACTTGAAGTAACTGTAAAAGATAATGGTGTTTGTGTAAGTAGTGGATATAATTGTGATGTAGACACCGATAGCAGACATTACAATCAATGAACGCCTTTAACATTCTGGGTTAGGAATTGTCCCAAGTAACATTTCCTGGTTATAGCGTCATGCTGAAGACCCAGATTCGATTCCCCACATTCTTACAATGTGTGATGCTGAAATATTGCTAAAGTTGGCGTAAAAACATACTCACTCTCTCACTCTTTGTCATTGGAGGTGACTGAAAGGATTGGGAGGGCCTTTTGACATTGCTGTGTCATTGGATACCTGCTCCTAAACCCTGTCTCTGGATTGGCAGCCATCAAAGAGCAGGAATACTGCAGAGTGTTGCCTAAAATAACAAACACACAACCACTCACCACATTGAAATAGGAGTGAGTGATTGAGTTTAGTTTTACGCCACACTCAGCAATATTCCAGCGGTCTGTAAATAATCGAGTCTGGACCAGACAATCCAGTGATCAACAGCATGAGCATCGATCTGCACAATTGGGAACCGATGACATGTGTCAACCAAGTCAGTGAGACTGACCACCCAATCCAGTTAATCGCCTCTTACGACAAGCATGGGTTACTGAAGATCAATATTCTAAGCCGAACCTTCACGGGTCCATTGAAACAGGAGCATTCTTATGTTTTGGTAAAGTTTGTAAGAAACATGTTTTCTGTTACTGTGGAAGTACACAACTGTTGATAATCCAACCTGCACGTCTATGACCACTAACCTCTTCTTTTCCCACTTGCAGCTAATTATGGTGTACAAAGTTGCTGGTCTTGACGATGATTGGCTGATGGCGGAGCGGGGTTCTCAACGAGGGAAGGTGCCTGTCACATACCTGGAGGTGTTGGAGTGACGACGCCACACACATCTACCTTCTTCTGTATTTAGATATTGATCTTAGTCTTACTACTTACCAGAGTTGCCATGGTTACATGCTCGTAGCACGGATCCTTAGCGTTACCATGGTATCTAGTGATGCGGATCTTTAGTATTACCATTATTACTTTGAGTAAAGTAACAAGGATCCTTAGCGTTACCATGGTTACTTCTAGTAAAGTAATAAGGATCCTTATTGTTACCATGGTTACTTCTAGTAGTGTAACAGGGATGCTTAATGTTTCCTTGGTTACATTCAAGTAGTAAGGACACCTAATGTTGTCATGGTTACTGTCCAAATATGGATACTAAGGCTGATTTAGCTTGGATATATTTTGAATAGACAGTAATCTGGTGCAATTGTTTTTCTGAAATACTCGGTGAGAGTGCTGGTCATCTGATCGAAGGAGGGTCTGGACCCCTGGTCTGATGGTCTGTCTGTTGTTGGCTTAATGCATTCAGTTTCTTGTTAAGGGTCTTGTTCTACACAGGATTGCAAAATCTTGTTAAAGATGTTCACAAATTACATCTTAATAATGTATTTTCTCAGTAAATGATTTTCAATGTCTCTGCTCGTAGACGCCGTTATCCATAATGATGAACTGTTTCAGGTTCAACAGTTCATGATTTAGCTTGAGTTCATGATTAGCTCACTGCTTTTTGTAAGTGTAGAAGGCTCTGAGTTAGTTGCAGTAAATATCAAGGCCCAATGATTAATACAAGAACGATAGGTGAGTTGGTTTGTCACACGCTTGCTAATTAATGGAGTAAAGTGTTTAATGGCAATATTCTCAGTTGGCATTTGCACTGAAATCTTCACCACTTTGCAGTTATACACATTTCTAAATTTTACATACAAGTCAGTAAAGGAATATTTCATAATTTAATGTTTTCATTCCATGTGATAATATTTCAGTTGTTCTTTGTTTCTTTTACTGATAACCACATCTTTCAAAGTAATGTTTGCATTTTTGTTGAGAAATCATTATTAGTCTGTTTGACTTAAGCGTTGTTTTTAAATTCTGCAATTATTGATCCTCGTATAGCTAGTAGGATGAACTTAGGATATAACACAGGGCTGGTGTACATAGAACTTACATATACATGTATTATGTTTCCACATTTTGTGCTATGCAAAACCGGACAGTCTTCATTGAGACAAGATATATGCATACAAGTATTTGCCTACAATTTAAGTCTTGATTTCTCTCTAATAAGGCCATGACAAGCTGGACACATAGGTGTCTCATTCATATACACTAAGATTGGTTTGGTACATAATATGGTTAAAGTACAAGTTGCATGTATTAATAGATTGTCCAGGATTCAGGAGTTATCTTTCCTTGACCAAAATATCTCATATGTCTCAAAAGGCTTTTACTGAAAATAAAGGAAAATCTAGGTGACACAGACTGTTTTGAAAATAATCATTTGATCAGAAACACTTTTAACATTTCATGGCCAGATGCTTCACTGTGGAGGTCTATAGTGTTTTCCTAGAAATAGTTGAAATATCCAATGTTTTCCTGCAGTTGTGATAAAGAGTTTTAGTAGCAGAGAGGTAGTTCATATGTGGATGAATCTGTTCATTGTAGATATGCATGAACCCTATTGTCACTTGTGAACATATACTCATGGAAACAAATAAGGGAACACACGAAAGTACAAGTGATCCTTTATTCTTTTCCAGGTTTCTTCACAAGGTATGTATAGCACTGTGAGTGACATTCTGGAAATAAGGAAGGAACACTTGTACTTTCATGTGTTCCCTTATTTGTTTCTATGAGTATATATGTATTAATATGTGTAAGACTGGCATCTGTAATGATTCACTGGGGTCTTTGTCCATAGTATGGATATAACATGCTACTTTCAATGTTACAAGAACAGGTTATGATCGTGATAGTCATAATTGATGCACCAGTATCACTTGGTGTAAGACTTGCCAGGAACATGTGATCGTGGGTTTGAATTCCATACTGTTTCTAGGTCTGTCTGTCTGCTTCTTAAAATGCTCATGGACAGGTCCAAGTAGTCAGCATGTAAGAGGTGCATGTCGTCAGGATTTCCTCATGCATCAGGCTGTGTGGTGGCTGAAGTACAGGGTGACGTTCAACCCATTTCACTCCAAGAACATACTGATGTATAAACAACACAAAACCTCAAGAATAACTAACAGCATCACTTGACTTTGAATGACGATATCTCAAATGACTCTGACACTGAGATGGTACATTTCAGACAAAATCGAAATCGGCTTCATACCCATCATAGATCTCAGTCTTACATCTATATGCATGTTCCCAGTTTCTCAACCAACCTTTGTACATCATAACTGCCAAACTTGCCTTCTTCAAACACTGTAACAAAGACCATGTAATCAGTGTTCCAAGACTGGAAGCCAGGGGTGCTTGTGATGATCCTGGTTGTGAAGACTTGGGGGCTTCTCAGATTCCATAGCAGCCTACCCACAGGACCCCTGGACTCCCATTAATTATAAACACTGTAATGCCAAATAATGTATTCTGTATTCTGTGTCTGTGTATTGGCTCCTACTGTCTGGCTGAATTTGAATCGGCAGTTCATCAATTTTGTATGTCTCCTCCCTGATTGTATGACAGACTCAAATTCTGAAGACTTGGAAAAGTTCTTCAGATGCTTGTAACTCCTGAAAATATTTGTTGATGGATTTGGACTCGACATCAGTTTTGTTTTACACTCCAGGTTCTATCATGGAACAATTGATTCCCATGCATACCTGGCTGCACTGGTGTAAGTTCAAACCCCTATTTCACCTACACTGAGCACGAAACTGAAAGGTTGCTGAATTTTGATCCATAAACCACATTTGAGATACCTTTGGAATGTGTCCTCGGAACCAAACTGATGTTTATTGCCTGCAGGTTCAGAAAGTTCTGTGAAGTTTGAAGGAAATGAGTACACTGGTTGCCTAGTTACAACCTCACATCAATATGTCAGATCTCTTAGCAAAGTTTGTAAATATTTGTAAAGTATTTTTGTCCACCATTAGTAACAGAAATTAGAGCCTCTGCTAATAGTCTAGATTGTACTGTATAGTCTTGAATAGACAAGTGAAAAGACTTCACATCTAGGCTTCAACAAAAAGAATATTATTCCTGAGAATACACTTGAACATATTTTACCAAGAAATTGAAAAGAAACAGGCAGCGTCCATCCTAAATGCAGTGTGTAGTGGTCAGATAATCTGTAGAACTTCTACAGATATACCAAATAAAAATGTTTTGGATCATAGACATATTGGGGATATGAGGTCATTGCATTTAGCTTCCTAAAGTCATAAATGGTTTTAGGTGAGCTGCTGTGAAGAGAACATATGTTGATATTTATGCAAATATTTCTTGTTACATATTCAAGAAAAAGAAAAATTTGAGAAGAAAAATAAGAATAATGAAAAGTTCATTTGTTCAAACAGTAAGCCTTGTGTTCAATATTGAACTAGCTAGGATTGCAGGATGTGTTGATCATTGAACAAGCTAGGATTGCAGGATGTGTTGATCATTGAACTAGCTAGGATTGCAGGATGTGTTGATCATTGAACTAGCTAGGATTGCAGGATGTGTTGATCATTGAACAAGCTAGGATTGCAGGATGTGTTGATCATTGAACAAGCTAGGATTGCATTGCAGGATGTGTTGTTGATCATTGAACAAGCTAGGATTGCAGGATGTGTTGATCATTGAACTAGCTAGGATTGCAGGATGTGTTGATCATTGAACTAGCTAGGATTGCAGGATGTGTTGATCATTGAACAAGCTAGGATTGCAGGATGTGTTGATCATTGAACAAGCTAGGATTGCAGGATGTGTTGATCATTGAACTAGCTAGGATTGCAGGATGTGTTGATCATTGAACAAGCTAGGATTGCAGGATGTGTTGTTGATCATTGAACAAGCTAGGATTGCAGGATGTGTTGATCATTGAACTAGCTAGGATTGCAGGATGTGTTGATCATTGAACATTGGATTGCAGGATGTGTTGATCATTGAACAAGCTAGGATTGCAGGATGTGTTGATCATTGAACAAGCTAGGATTGATGTGTTGATCATTGAACTAGGGATTGCAGGATGTGTTGATCATTGAACAAGCTAGGATGTGTTGATCATTGAACAGGAGGATGTGTTGATCATTGAACTAGCTAGGATTGCAGGATGTGTTGATCATTGAACTAGCTAGGATTGCAGGATGTGTTGATCATTGAACTAGCTAGGATTGCAGGATGTGTTGATCATTGAACTAGCTAGGATTGCAGGATGTGTTGATCATTGAACTAGCTAGGATTGCAGGATGTGTTGATCATTGAACTAGCTAGGATTGCAGGATGAACTAGCTAGGATTGCAGGATGTGTTGATCATTGAACTAGCTAGGATTGCAGGATGTGTTGATCATTGAACTAGCTAGGATTGCAGGATGTGTTGATCATTGAACTAGCTAGGATTGCAGGATGTGTTGATCATTGAACAAGCTAGGATTGCAGGATGTGTTCATCATTGAACAAGCTAGGATTGCAGGATGTGTTCATCAAGCTAGGATTGAAGTACTGTAGTGCATGCTGGTATCACAGTACCTACTCTTGGTCTCATAGTAGTAGTTCCATAATCTAGGGTCTGCCAGTGAAAGTTGGAATGGTGGTAATGACAACCTGTATCTGACTTGTTGGACTGACAGCTGTGGCACAAATGAAAACAAAAGTATGACAGTCCTAGTTGGAGACATTTTGTTTAAAATGTTGATGTCCAACTGAAGTGTCCATTCTTCAGGTGTGAAGCTCACTGTACAGAATGACGTCTGCCAGGATCCAACCTGGTTATGATCCTCAGTTTCTGTGCACTTTGTTCACCAAGGTCAAGGACGGACCTGCATCAGTTTGGACTTTCTCCCCTTCAATTTGATGGTTCTGTGTTTGGATCGATGACCTATTGTGTTTTCATCTGCACAAGGTTGGATTATCAGGGTACTATAAACTGACAATGTGTGGAAGTGTGATCCATACATCGAACAGTTTCATGTCAACTTGCACTTTGAAAGCTGACCAGCCTGTATGTTTAAAGGGGAGAATCTTCCAATGGGTTGTTTTTATAAACAAGAACATTTGCATGAGTAAGATGTTCAAAATTATTTCAAAACATCAAATCTATTTCAAACTAATGGTCCTTGTTCTTCAACTTTTCTCTGCTTTGGCATAAACTCATGTCATCAAAAACAAATGCTAGCTTTTATGCTACTGAGGTGTCAATATCTAAGTTTAAAATATTTGAGCCACAATTTAGATAGAATTAATTTATGGTCAGTAAGCAATTTACAACAGAGCCAGAGAAATGACATAATTGTACAGATTTCTTTAAAAGCACCTGTAAAAGCAGTCAGGTTGTCTTGGATGTATATAGATCTATCTTATGCACTTCATGCCAAAACTTTCCAAGTTCTGCCAAAAGAATTGTCTTATTCAAGGCAATTTTTTTGTCAGCAATGATGAGAAATACTTGGCTTAAAATGTCTGTGGCTTTTGTGTACCTCCACTTGAACCCTTTCACTCCCTAACTGTTGTGTGTGTGCAGTTCCCGAGTTGATATAGAACCCCAGCAAACTAGGGTGTTTGGTAGTATTGTGTTATTCCTTGTATAGCTTCATGATGGTTCGCTGAAAGTATTTTTGGAGGAGGATAATGGGTATTTTTGGTTCATTTTTTATCAAAATGTATTTTTTAGCATCCTTGTGTTTGGTTTGTAATAATAATGCAAATGAGTGAAGAATTTGATGGTGAACTTAAAGCAATATGAAACGAAGTTCATTGGGTAAAGAATTTGTTCAAGAGAAGAAGAAAATGAAAGTACTGTTTTTGGACAGAAAGTCATCCGGGTCTCACATCACCACCTTGTCTTCACGAGTGAGATTTGATAATAAGCACTGACTTCTGGAGACCTTTTTTTTCTCAGAATTCATAAAAGGTTTAAAGTAAGGGCAATTTTTTAAGAGGTGATACATTCTTTTTATGGTAGGCAAAAACAAATTGTCCTGATTATTCCTCTTCATGAGGTGGTCCTATTTATGAAAATAATGTTGATGTAATTCAGTTTCTTCTCTGTTTATTTCTCCATGTTGATGAGAACAAACTGTCGAGCCTTGAGAACACTTACCAGGCTAGATACAAGGTTCTCTATTTTGTCTTCACATATTGCTGTTGATTACAGTCCTCGCAATGTCTGACAATTCTAGATCTGCTAACAGTAAAACTGACTGCTTATGTTGCTCAACACTGTAATTGTAGATATCATTTGTGGAAGTATTATCGCAGTATGCTTTAAAGGGTTTATTGGTATTTGTGTGTTTATCAAATGCTTGTATATAGTCAAAACTTATTTCCATGTATATTCTTTCATTTATTATGAATTTAAATATGTTATTCTTTTTATAAAAGTAGCATCACTTTAATTTGTTCACCATGAAAGTCTCCAGTTTGATACAGTGTGATTTTGAGTTAAACTCTCTACAAAGTCTCTATGCATTGAAATCTTCAAATGATCATTCCACTGTTTATATCACTGATGTGTTCAGGTATGATTCAAATGGAGTTCACATATTAATTCTGCTGAAGTTATAATGGTACTGAGAGCATAATTCTAATTTCAGTTCAACAGAACATGGTCCGACAATATGCTGTTATATGAAAAATGAATTTAATTTTCCGTGATTTAACTGAGATTCAAGTTTTAAGATATTGCTGATGAATATTTGTAAACGTTGTCAGGTATATTCATTGATCAGCCACTCTGCTTTTTAAACTCATTAGGTAGAACTGAACTGAACATGCAGAATTGTTTTATGAAAGACAGTTTCAAGGAATACAGTTTTTCGAAACCTCAATTATCCAGTCAGTATAGACCAGATAATCAGATATTTTTCCTTAAAAAGGTGTCAAACCTACAATGTCTAGAATGAAGGTGCATGATCTTTGAATTAAATCTGCATTTTATTTCCATGAAACAGTGTTTTCATCTTTGTTTTCATGCCTTTTTCATTTGTTTTCTCATTGCTTAAGTTGTTTATGTTTTCATTTTGAATCGTCTTTTAGGTAATGTTTTCATTCATGTCTTAGAATGAATTTTATGCATTGTCAGATGTAAGTATTAAATTCATTTTTATTGTACTTGGGAAAGGAATGCTTTTAAGTGGAATGCTTTGTATATACCAGGTATGTTATCAATATTGTATGATACAGCTCACTGTATATTGCACTGCAGAATATAGCTAGTCACTCTTGACATGTGTTTACCAGGTTGTACATTACAACCACCAACTATTAGATATAAATGTATATAGAATATAAGTAAAGTATTCAAATTATCTTCATGTCATAGAATATTTAGAAAAATACAGTTGAGATTTTAGGCTTTGTTGAAGAAATTTAGATTACACTGTAAATCTAATGACTTCATGCCAAGCTCAACTGCTAAAGAAAATGTTTTAGAAATGTCCTTTTTGTGATCCTGAAATATGTGTAACAAATGAATTGGTGATGCAGTTATTTTACTTGGATTGGCCTGAAAAATGCTTGTTTTGCATATAAGACATTTTGACAAATTCTGACAAAAGTTTCTGTGTAATATGTTTTCTGAAGTGTTGAGCTGTTGGTATGAATGTCTGGAGCAGTGAAACAATAACTATGCTTGTCAGCACATTATCTGATTGTATTTGTAGGGGAATAAAGTCTTTCTTCATTCATAAACTATATGTTGTTTTAGTCTCTGTTGTTTGACAGGGTCTGTTTCTTTGTATTTGTGTTTTTTAACTCTGCACTCGGCTATATTCCAGCTATATGATGTTGGTCTGTGAATATTAACATCTGGACTAGACGATCCAGTGATTGACATCATGAGCACTGACCATGACATTATGATATGACATTCATCAACCAAGTCAGCGAGTCTCCCAATCGTCACATGGGGCGGTGTTAGGTAGCCTAGTGGTTAAAGCGTTCTCGCGTTCGCTCGTCCCGCTGAAGGCCCGGGTTCGATTCCCAAGATGGGTACAATGTGTGAAGCCCATTTCTGGTGTCCCCCACCATGATATTGCTGGAAGA